GGGGGGGCACATAAGATATCAGTCAAATATGGGGGGGGCACTAATAATTTTCATTGCATGTCGCAACCACTGGGCCCCAACACCATATAGAGAACGCAATTAAATCAGCTCTCAGCGCCCGATAGGTGTGGAATACAGCAGGGGCTGACTGGCAACTTTTAGCCCAGGGGGCAAGTACAACCCAGAGGCCTATGGTGCAGCAACTTGACCCCCTCCAGCTCTGCCTCTTCCCGCGCCTTCTCCCCGTCCCTGTCTGCCACCCATGTAATGGAAGTGTGAATGGTCGGGTGATGTGAGGACTCCTAGCAAGTCCATGAAAGGGGTGACTGACTGAGGGATAGTGCTCTCCTCCCACTGGGCTCCCTACATGGTTCTGGCCTAACTCCGCTCCATGTCCGGTACTTAGGCACTCTCACCGTCTGTAGACCGCCACTGGCTGTCCATACTTCTGGGCTGGGAGCTGTGGGAGGATAGTGGGAGGGGCTGGATAGTGTCAAAGTTAGTGTTCTATAATTTTTCTCGATCCTATACATTTTATCGACTGTCACTTCCAGTGGGGACGAGTCATCCGAATCAGCGGTTTTCATGACCCCCTTTCTTCATGACATGCGCACCTGGAAGAGATACGGTAGAGAAATGTATGGGTTGAGGAAAATTAATGCACACTGGTAGTAGAGGGATGCCTCGTCAGTGCTGTGGGCGTGTACGACTGCTGCAACCCTGGTAGTTCTGCCCCAAACTCCAAGCTGTAGAGGGACTACAAATCTCAGCACATTATACAGCAATGCAGAATAATACCATCAGCTATAGGGGACTATAAATCTCAGAAATACATTGTACAGCATTGCAGAATGGAATTGGCTATAGAGAACTACAATTCCAAGCAATACATTACACAACAATGCAGAATACCATCAGCTATAGAGGACTATAAATCCCAGCAATAATACATTAATGAAGCAATGAAGACTACCAACAGTTATAGAGAACTACAATTCCAAGCAATACCATTATACAGCAATGCCGAATAGTATCAGCTATAGAGGATTACAAATCCCAGCAATACATATTACAGCAATGCAGAATAATATGAAGCTACATACTCTGTGTTGCTCTGGATTCACCACCTGATGTCTCCAGGGTCTCAGGAGGGTTGTGTGGGCTCTCACCAGGTGTCCAGAGTTTCACAGGTGCGTGTGGGTGCAGCAGAGGCGGCTCCGTAATAAGGCTCTCAAGTGGGGTATGCGGACTGACAGGTGGTCAGTGCGGGCTCTCTGCTGGTCAGTGCAGGATTTGTGGTGGCCAGTGGGGGCTCCCTAATAATAAGTGGTGGCTCCCAAGTGGGTAGTGGGGGCTCCACTGTGGCCAGTGGCGGCTCCCTGGTGGTTAATGGGGGCTCTGTGGTGGCCAGTGGAGGCTCCCTGGTGGTTAGTGGGGGATCTCCGATAGTTAGTGGGGGGTCCCTGGTGTAGGGTGACTATTCATCAAGAGCTGCAGCTAATGATTATTTTCAAAATCGATTAGTTAGCCGATTATTACGTTCGATTAACCGGTTAATTGGGATTTTAAAAAATGGCTTCAGTGATGGACTACTAGTTGGTATTGAGATTGTAGTCCATCACAGGAGCAAGCTTGGAGCGGTGGAAGTAACAAAAAAAAGGTGTGGTGTGCAATTTAGTGAAATGGAAAGTGTAAAAATATACAGCAATCAATGCAGAATGGCACCGGCTATAGAGGAATACAACAAATCCCAGCAATAGTACATTATAGCTTGCAGTATTCTGCATTGTTGCCTAGGTATGCAATCCGAGCTGGCTGGATCAGGCAGTTGCGGCCCTCTAATCAGGCATGTTAGAGGGCCTCCCACTGGGGCCTACCGAGGACCCCCTTGAGGAGCGAGTGGCCGTCCAATTAGAGAGCTGCATCTGTAGGTGCAGGTGGCAAGGAGGCGGCGGATGGAGGGAGCAACTGCACCTTGCGGCCAGGGGCTTTATTTAGCGGGGGTCGGTGACGGGAGAGCCCCCACCACCAACCAGGGAGCCCCCACTGACCCCCACCAGGGTAAGGTGACCAGCTTAAAGAAGAAAAAAAATCCGGGGACATTTTTAAATGTCCCAGGGAGCATAAAATAAGTTGTTTTTTTTTTTAAACCACGTGAAGTCCTCGGTGTTAAACTCTCTTCCTGTCCAGTATTTAGCGTTGCAGTACTTTAACTGACATTTATTCTGTCATGCAACGCTGTACTGAAATTAATTTTATACCATTTTTTTAGGGACAGATAAAGCTTTCTTTTGGTGGTATTTAATCACCACCGGGGTTTTTTATTTTTTACTATATTGTATTACACATCACTTCCGCATTCACAGCACGGAGGGAGATCAGAAAGGAGGAAGATGCTGATCTCCCTCCCATCTTACCTCCTGACGCCCTAGTGAGCTGGTCCCGGGCCACAGATGGGCTAGCGGATCCCGGGATTGAAGGTGAGGGGTCAGGAGGGGGGGCACTCCAGGCGGCGGCTGTGGCACTCGATGGGCGGGCAAATCACAACATACAACCGATCGGCGGCTTTATGTATAGAGCCGCTGATCGGTTGTATGTAAAACAGCCGCTAGGGGGCACGCGCATGCAGGAGAAAATGCCGTCTGGTGACAGCAACCCGCCCGTGTGAGTCTGCCGCCCGTCCGTTTTTTCACAATGGGCGGACGGCAAGCGGTTAATACTTACCAGATTTCTGGATCCACTGACATGCGCAGCCCGTCTCCCACGCTGTCAGAAGCTGCATACAGCGTGTGCTGGTTACTACTTAAACCGGCGCGCTTGGTGCAGCTTCTGAGAAGATACGCTATTAGAGTAGCGGGAGCTATGAAAAATGCACAGCCGGCTTCCTCGCTATGCTAATAGCTTATCTTCTCAGAAGCTGCACACAGCGCGCCGGTTTAATTAGTAACCAGCACATGCTGTATGCAGCTTCTGACAGCGTGGGAGACAGAAGGCTGCACTTGTTGGTGGATTCAGGGATCAGATGAGTATTAAAAAAAATGTTTAAATTTTATATTTCCGGGGACATAATTTGTCAGGGGACGGGCTCCTCAATCCAGGGACTGTCACCAGAAATTGGGGATGAATGTAGGGCTGCAACAACCAATCGACTAAGTGCACAGCCCCCTCCAATACAGGTGGTTAGTGAGCACTGCTTAAACTACACTGATGGTCAGTGATCACTATTGCTTACAACACTGGGGCTCAGTGGCCACTGTCCTCTACAACACTGGCCCTACAACCCTGGTGATAAGTGAGCGTCACCCCTTCAACACTGGTGGTCAATGAGTATTGCTGCCTAAAACATTGGTAGTCAGTAAACATTGCCCCCTACAACATGTGGTCAATGAAAGCTGTCCCCTACAACACTAGTGGTAAGTGGGCACTGTCCCCCACAATACTGATGGTTAGGGGACACTGTCCCCTAAAACATTGGTCAGTGAATACTGTCC